TACTATATGATTGCTGAGATGAGCCTGACATAGTTTGGATTTTGTATTTAGTACTTATGCTTATGCTCTTGAATTTTCCTCTTATTAAGACTGCAAGTTAAATTTGCTACTGAAATAGATCTACAAGGGGAGTGGGGTGGTAAAGGGAGAAGCTTTCTCCAGACAGAAGCACAGCTGCAGTACAAGACGGGGCTCAAAGGGAGAGGCTGGCGGTTACCATGACATTCTCTGGAAGAGGAATGGAGCTGGGATCAGATTGCCACAGGGGAGGCCTCAGCAGTCCCTCCCTTTGAACATGATGTAGGAGGCAATTAAAAGGAGACCAGAGCAAAAAGAGATGTCTGTTAATTCCCTCCACTAGCAGCTTCAATTAACCTTTACTTTTTTTTTATAGGGTCAAGCTCTGCCCTGGGATTGGGTATATAAAAATGAGTAAAATATGGTTTTTTTACCCTAGAGTTCGTAACCTATCTCAAAACACTTGCAAATAAAGTTATGACTAAACATAATAAATGTTATATAATAGTCATATACCAGGACTATGAGAGTAATATGAAGAGGGAGGTCAGGAAATACCTCAGAAAAGGTGATGCCCGAGTTGAGAGGAGTTAAGAAGATAGCCTGGAAAAAGCCTTAGGTTTGAAAGGGCCTAGTGGTCTGGGGAACAGCCCCAGAAGTTTGGTGTGGAGTTTAAACCAGAAGACACTCTGTATTTTATGAGCAAGGACTATTCCAAAGATGTTCATGAATGACTACCCAACTTGGAATCCAAAGACATAAAAGTTTAATAAGTAAAAGTATTGTTTTTATTTATTGTTTTGAGAGAGAGAGAAACATCAATTTGTTGTTCCACTTACTTAGGCATTCATTGGTTGATTCTTGTATGTGCCCTGACCAAAGATCGAACCTGCAAACTTGGCATACTGGGACGACATTCTAATCAACTCAGCTACCTGGCCAGGGCCAATAAATAAAAGTATTCATAGTCCATGTAAGACAACACTCTTTTAAATTTGGATTCAGAAGCCTGTAATAAAAAATCCTAATTCCACCAAGTCTAGATGTTAAAATACAGGAAAGGTTAATTCTACCTATAATCATTTTAACATGTACACACACCATATTTGTAAGAAATAATTTTATAATCTTTTCAATGCCAGGGTATAAAAAGCACTACTGTTGACAATGGTTAATATAGTAATTTAAAAATACTAGTTATCCCCTTTAGTTCCAAGTTTCCTTGGGGAATAAGGAAAGGGCAAAAGAGGAGCAGAAACAACTGAAATATGTAACCGGATTCAGAATCCCTGCAACACAAGGAGGGAGTGACAACTACTGAGCCTTGTACACAGCTGGCAAACATATATACAGTAGTTCCTGGGGCAGCACAAGTGCTGGTAAACTACAGAGGGTCAGACCTGCCACTGTAGCACAAAAGCAGACAGAGACAACCTGTAATGACCCAAAAGACTTAGTTTAGTGACTTCTAACCAAGAAGTAGAGATCTTTTACGCTGGCCGGGTAGCTTAGTTGGTGAGAGCATCGTCCCCATATGCCAAGGTTGTGGGTTTGATCCCGTCAGGGCACATATGAGAATCAACCAATGAATTCATAAATAAGTGGAAGAACAAATCAATGTTTCTCTCTCTCACATCAATAAATTAAAAAAACAAACTAGAAATAGAGATCTTTAATGAGTTGATGACAAAGGTATTATGGGAACCTATAAAAGAGGACTTTAACCTGGTTTTGAGGAAGTGACTTTAAATAAAGACTTTAAGAGTGAGGAAGAATTAGTGAAGTGGAGGAGCTGGCTCCTTTGGAAGTGTTCACGAAGTGGTGGCATTGGAGAGGAGCACTCCAGGGTGAGGCACAGGGCACACTGGCAGGAACAGTGATGGCTAACTTTGGGAAGAGAAAGGAAGGTTCATAATGAGTTGTAGGTGAGGTTACAAGGATCTTGGTAGAATAATTTAAGATTTTGGACTCTATCTGAAAGGTGTTGGGAAACCACCATGGAGTTTTAAACAGAGAATTGATATAATTTACTTGCTAATTCAACCAATATTTAATGAGTGCCTACTACATGCTAGACATTTAGATGAAAAAGTTCCTGCCCCTTTGATACCTGTATTCTGGTGTAGGAGAAAAACAACAGACAAATTATAGAGACCCTGTTATAAGTGGTAGGAAGGAAATAAACACCCTCACCTCTGAGAGGGTGAGTTTAGGTAGAAACAGGAAGAAGGGGTAGGATGTGGCATGCAAAGCCAAGGGAAGAAGTTCTTGTTGAAAAGACAGGGAAGAACTTGGCATATGGTATGCGATATTCTAAGGCCAGCACGACCAGAGAATGGTGAGGCAGCAGAATGTGAGAGGGAGGGGCCTCGTTAAGCAGGGTTATGAAGACCACGGAGAGCTGCTGGAGCGTTTTAAATAGGGAAATGACAGGATGTGACCTGACCTGATCTTGCAATGTGGAAAACAGATTGGAATGGGATCTGGGTGGAAGCAAGGTAAACTGAGGATACTCTTGTGGTAGTCCAGGAAAAAGATGACAGTGGCTTGGAACAGGGTGCTAGCAGTGAAGATGAAGAATAAAGACAGATATGAAACATACTCTGGAAATAGAAATGATACAGTTTACTATAATACTTGAGGATGGGTAGTGGGCGAGGATCCAAGGTGATTCTCAGAGGTCTGGCTTTGGTAACCATGTGGATGAGAGTACCACTTAGTGATGTAGGGAAGGCCAGGTTTGGAACTATGGGAAAACCAAAATGTTCTTTTTGTTATGTTAGGTTTGGGGTATTTAAGAGTTGTCTAAATATAGCTATTATACTGGCATTCTGTGCATGATTCTTCAACACAAAGGAGAAAGGACTGGGCTAGAGATTTAAACTTGGGACCTGCCTGCTTTTAGATGGTTATTAAAGCCATTGGACTGGATCACCTATAGGAACATGCAGAAAACCCAGGATTAAACTGTGAAGAAAATTCAGTGGTTAGACACTATGCAGAGAACAAAAGTGGTTAGCAAAGGAGATGGAGAAGCAATTAGACAAATGGAGAATATCCAAGAGTGAAGTGCCAATGAAGCCAAGAAAAAGGAAAGTTCCAAGGAAGAAGGAAACTGTGTTGAATATCTCAGACACTGAGAAAGATGGGAACAAGGCATGTATAGAATTTGGCAATACAGAAGTCACTGGTGACCTTGATAAGGGCAATTTCAACAGAGTGGTCAGAAGAGAAATTGACTAAAAGCCGAGAAAGCTGACACAAGTAGAAATCTGGCTATGAAGGGAAATTTTTAAAAAGTAGTAGTAGTCGGAGGTGGATAAGAGGAATACCAAAAAGAACATAATCTGTATGTTGAGGGGAATAGCTTTTTATAGAGAGGTAGGATTTGGTGATTGATATTATCAGGGATAATAGAGGAAAAATGTAAGGATTATAGACACAGGATTCTGATTGTGGTCCCATTGTTATGACCACGAACCTGGGAGCAAGAGCCAATTTATTTGCCCTAAAGATCATAGGTTTCAACCACCCTGGGCAGGCTTCCTTACTTGCCAAGGTCTACTGAGGGAGAACTATAAAATGTGCTTATGTAGACTGCACAACGGCCTGATGTTATTAATCTCTTGATGAGGTTTAAACTTCTTTGGGAGCAACAATACTATGCTAAACTAATGTAGTAGCCAGACAAACCAACTGAATAACAATGGGCTTATTGTTATGGACTGGCTGAAGAGACACAAGTTATGGAAAAGGACTCTAAATTCAGAGCTGATGGGGAAGCAATCATACTTTTGCAATCAATACAATGAAGACTTGAAAACTGGTAATTTTCAGATAAACAGAGAACCATGTCACCCCCCCCCCAAGAAATTAATCAAATTCAAGATTGTTTATACTCTCCATGTTTATTAATAGTAGTGGTGTAACTTAACGCTCCCTTATTACTTCTGATATTATAGTGGATTTCCATGAGCATATTTTTGGAGAGCTTAGGTCTCCTCTTAAAAAAAACAATCAATTCTTGCAACAAGCAATGGAAATGCACTGCTCCAGCTGGTTCAAGGAAGTGCGGAGAGAGAAAGGCAGAAACTGAAAGAAAATAAAAATTTTGACTTAATAGCCCATTCCGATGTCTGTGGTAGGAGTCTGCGGATGCAGCTAGCCATCTACAGAAAGTTCTACCTTTACTATTCAATAATACGGAAAGAGATGGAATTTGGCATAGCCTTCTAGGCCTAATGATCGAGCTGCTGAAAGCTCCATAGATATCACAACTCCAGAACAAACATTTCGATCACCTGATCCTGACTCAGAAGCCACAGATCCATTCCATTTCCAAATCTTTCGCGTGGCCCAGTTTTCAGAAGCTACGACAGAAGGACGGCATCCGAGAAAGACTGTTGATACAACAGGACGCCCAATTCACGGGTTCCGGGAGGCACAGGGTTCGGAAAAACCTTGAGACTCTGAGCAACCACCCCGCTTTCCTCCTCCTCCTTCCTCATAGAGATCCGAAGGCCGGGGACCCCAGTTCTTCCCGCATACGACTCCCCAGGACCTCTTCCCTTACAGGACCAGGCCCTAGGAGCCTGGTGCCCCACCTGACCCATTCAAGGAACACGTTTTCCAGTACGAACTTTACCTACCTGAAGCCCACCGATTCTCCGTTGCGCTAAGCCCCCACCGAGGAAAATGGAGTCGTCAAACCGAGACTGGGAAAGGATAGTAAGAACCCACCGCACGGATCCTCCACCTCCACCGCCACCGCCGCCGCTGCTGCGTCAACGTGCTACGTAACTTCCGGCTCCCTGTCACTGGGAGTGGGCGGGCCACTTCTTGGTCTCTTCTCCGCCCCGCCCCCCCCCGCCCGCTCTCCGGGCTTCGTCCCGGAGGTCACGAAAACTGGCTGAAGCGGTTCAGGAAGGCAGCTGTCAGAACAAAGCCCCGAAACAGAACGAGCGGATCGGAAGCAACCAGGCCTAGCTGGTGCCTCAGGCCTCCCTAGCCAAAGGAACTATAAGGACCGAACTAGGGCTTTTTCATTTCCTCTTCTCTGTGATTCCGCCCGTAGCTTCCGGTTCCGGGGAGGGACGGAGTTTTCTTCGGAGATTAGAGGCACTGCGGGACGTCCAGGATGGCTGTGGTATCGTTACTGTTGTTTGGGAGTTTGTGCGGTGTTGTGGGAGCGTCCAATCTGGCTGTCGTTACGTGCGGTTCTGTGGTGAAGCTACTCAATACGCGCCACAACGTACGACTGCACTCACACGACGTGCGCTATGGGTCAGGTACTGCTGTCCAGGTTTGGGTGGGCGGGGAGGGCCCGGTAGGCTCCGAAGGGGGCGGGGCCTAGAGAAGAATCTGAGGGGTGTGGTCTGGGAAGGTTAGGGGAGCCCGGGGAAGGTTCTTGAGGTCTGGAGGCGAAGAGTCGCAGACTTGAGCAGTTTTAAGGCGTCTTAATCCTGATACCAGCCTTATTATGGTGAGCTACAGAATGTACATATATTACATATATACTCGTATATGTAACACTCATATGAGGTAGAGACTACTATTCTAGTTTTACAGATGAGGAAACAAACTCAAATAAATCGCTTGCTCAAAGTCTTGGAGCTAGTGAATGATGGAGGCGGAGTTTGATCCAAATCTGTCCAGGTTCATAGCCTTTTTTCAGTTACTCCCTGCTGGCATAACTCGTTGTAGGAGAAACGTAGAAAAATGACAGTAAGTGCTGTATCTCTGAAGTTTTGAACTCCAACAGCTCAGTCTTTGGCTGCGACCCTCTGTTCTAGCTCTTTTGCATAGTAATACTTGCTCTTCAACTCTTTTCTTTTGGCCACTTTTTATTCAAACCTTACCCTTCTTGTAAAGAATGTTTTTAAGCTAAAGCACTTGATGAAGTTGGAGAGGAAACCGATTTGTGGGTTTTTTATCATGAAATTAAAATGCCTGGTTTGTGTGTTCATTTATATGGCAGCAATTATTTATGGGTTCATTCGGTACAGATTAATGAGCTCCTACTGTGTGCCTATTACTGTCCTCGATACAGGAGATATGGTGATCAGTCAGCAAGTTACAAGAAAGCAAAAACAGACAAAAAGAAAAAAGTTAGTGAACTAATGACTGCTAGGTTTCTATGTTGGATAACTGATGATGCTAAAAGCTAAAAGAGGAAGGAGCTCTCTCAGGTGGAGGCTAGTCTGTGGTTCATGTTTCTCAAAGCCTGTCTGACCACTTAGACTTGGAAAGGAACTGAGTTGTCATTGTTGGGATGTCTTAATAATCCTAGCAGCCATTCAGTGAACACCTTCTACGTTTCCAGTTTATTACTTTTAAATTTGATGCAGTCTCCTATTTTGGATCTACTAACTTTGGATTCCTGCCAGAAGGAATCTGTAAGTTTAAAAAGCTCTTCAGTGCTCCTGATGGGTAGCCAGATTTGAGAACCAGGTTCAGCCTAGAGCTCAGAAGAGAGATCTGTACTGAGCCTGAGATACAGAGTTAAGTGCAGATGGTCTTCAACTTAAAAATTTTCAACTTTACAATGGTGTGAAAGTGGTATACATTCAGAAGAAACCAACTAGGTTACTCTCTGGTGTTTGGTAGGTTAGGTATTAAATGCATTTTGACTTAATGATATTTTCAATATATGATGGATTTATCAGGACATAACCCTTTATCCTATGTTGAGGATCATCTGTTCAACATCATTGTTCAGGTGGTGGTTAAAGTTATGGATAGAGTAAATAAAATTGCCCAGGATGACCTGTAGTTCTCAATGTGGTGTCAATTTTGAATCACTTGAAAAAGTTGTTGAAGGGCTTATAAATGCTTTTGTCCTGACTCCCAACAAGTACAGCGGTACCTTGGTACTTCTCGTTAATTCATTCCCGAACTCATGATGAGTGCAGAAACCGATGAGTACCTATCATGACGAGTAATGAAGCATTTTCTCTTGTGGGGTGGCATCATGACTCATACAAGTTCTAGCAAGTGCAGTGAGTCCTGAGCAAGCGCTGAGTGCTGAAACTTTTTTTTTTCTTGTCAAAATATGACAAGTACAGGGTTTGATGAATTCTGAAGCCAACAAGTACTGAGGTATAATTGTATTTAAGAGTGGATAAAAGCCAGGGATAGAACTCTGGATAATCACAAAGTTTAAGGATGGAAGAAGAAGTGGGGGTTTAATAGCAAGTGAAGAAGAAGAAGACAGAAAGTATAGATCATGATTTAGTGAAACATGGCAGTTAAGGACCAACCAAGAGAACTATAAGGCAATAACCAGAAGTAAGGAAGAAGGGGTTGGTCTGGCCTTTTTTTTTTTTTTTTTTTTAATGTAAAAAAACATGACTTGAGTAGAAGAAGCAATAGAGAGAAACTGGTAGTTTAGCTACAAACATTCATCCAGAAAATTGTGGGACAAGACGTAGTGTGTTAAGTGGTAAAATGGGTGTCATTAAAAAGCTGCAGTCAGGCAGGGCCAAGGGACTGAAGGAGGAATAGGCAAGAGTTCCTAAAGGAAGTATCTGGGAAACATGGAGTACCTTTAAAGATTTGTGTAGCGAATGAAGCCTAGGGAAGAGAATACCCCTGGCGTTTATATGAGAGAGTGGCCTATTTGGGGGAATTTGACAGAAAATAAAGCTTTGTGGGAGGCCATGTGGTAGAGGGGTTAAGAATGTGAGTTCTAGAGTTAAGGCACCTAGATTCAAACCCCAGCACTGCTTCTTAGAGTTGTGTGATTTTGGGCATACTATTCAGCCTTACTAACACTCCAGTGTAAGATAGAGAGAATAGTGATAGATGCATGCATCAAATATAAATATTCAATCAAAAGTCTTCAGCTAGTATCTGACACCTAGTAAGTGCTTAGTACACATTAACTAGCTAGCAGTTACTTGTGTGTTTTCCTTTTTAAGCTACATGTTTAACCCAGTGCCTCTTAACTTGCAGAATTGTACCACTTTAGGCAAATTTAGATGACTTGAGAATACTTTTGTAATGTATTGATAGATCACTTACAGGGATTTGGGAGCTCTATGGCTGTTTGGATTAAAGTTGACAGCAAACACTGGTCTCATTTTGATGGTGAAATGTGATAAAAATTTATTCTAATAGCTAAACATTAAATAATATGACAAACATTGAAATTATGATTAGACACCCAGCATATACTAGAGGCTGTCCCAGCTAGTATATATAGGTAAATGCTGACTGCTTCAAAAAAAAACCCACACATATGTTCATTTATTTAGTGCCCTTTGATGCCAATTCTTAGAGTTTTCTAATATGGTACACTCTTAAATATAGTTTTATCATTCATAACTAATACTATATAAATACATTTAGTATTTTTCATATATATATTAATATTATAGAAGAAAAAGTACTGCCAAGCATAGGGTTTCCTCCCCATCCCTCCAAAGCTGTTTTATGACATGGGGCACATTATTGGCTATAGGAAAGAGAGGTGTCCAGTTGAACTCAACCTCTTTTCTTTTTTTTGACTGCAGGTAGTGGGCAGCAGTCAGTGACAGGTGTAACCTCTGTGGATGACAGCAATAGTTACTGGAGGATACGGGGGAAGACCTCCACAGTCTGTGAGAGGGGAACCCCCATCAGATGTGGCCAGCCCATACGGCTGACGCATGTCAACACCGGCCGAAACCTCCATAGTCACCACTTCACCTCACCGCTTTCTGGAAACCAGGTGAAGTGGCATCCTGTGGGTCATTGCTGCTTTGTGCTTTGCTCAGTTGAGTTGTTTGATAACTTGGTTGTTAGTCCTTTCTTTTTTAGGTGTTGCTGTTCTTTTTTGTGCAGACCTGTAAAATTGGCTTTGTCATATACATGTGAAAGAAATTGTTTCTGGTCAAAATGGAGACTTTACATCTAGATCAAATCAAGAAATGACGGGGAAAGACAAAATATGTATCTGTTAGCATATCACAAGTTACCTTGATAAATCCTGCAATAAAGAAACCTAACGTTTTCCAAGCTTGCAATAAAAATTATTGTTATTAATATTTCAATGATGCCAACTGACCATATTAGGAAAATGAATTAGATATTGTCCCATTAAAAATGTTTTTTTATTTACTGCTTTTTTAGAGAAAGAAAAGGGGAGAAAGAAACATCAATTCGTTGTTCCACTTATTTATGCATTCATTGGTTGTTTCCTATAAGTGCCCTGACTGGGGATCAAACCCACAACTTTGGCATATTGGGATGATGCTCCAACCAAGTGAGCTACCCGGTCAGGGCCAGTGCCATTTTTTTTAAGCCTTGAGTTTTTGGGGGATATAGAACCTCTTGATGACTGCTTCCCTCCCACTCCCCCTCTATTTATAGTTTTCCCTATTAACATCTTACATTAGTATGATAGGTTTGCCGTAGTTAATTGATAATATTGATACTTGTTATCTACCAAAGTCCATAGGTTATTCCAATTCTTTAGTTTTTACTATTCTCCTTTTTCTTTTCTAGGATCCCATTTTGGACACTATATCACATTTAGTTGCCGTGTCTCTTTAAGCTCCTCTTGGTTATGACAGTTCTCAGAGTCTTCTTGGTTTGGATGACAGTTTTGAGGAGTGCTGGTTAGGCATATTATAGGGTGCTCCTCCATTGGAATTTGTTTGATGTTTTTCTTATGATATGACTGGATTTATAAGGGTTTTTGGGAGAAAGGTCACAGAGGGAAAGTGCAATTTTCATCACATCTTGTCAAGATTTATCATACTATCTACAAGATTTATCACTGTCGACACTGATTACCTGGCTGAAATAGTGTTTGCCAGGTTTCTCCTGTAAACTTACTCATTTTTGTTTTCCTACTTTCCACATTGTACTCTAGAAAGAGGTCACTTTGCACAGCCCACACTTAAGAATGGGAGGTTTTGCTGCTTGCTTCTCCTTTAGGGGGGAGTAGCTACGTAATTTATTTGGAATTCTTCTGTATGGGAGAGTTGTCTCTTTTTATTTATTTAATCCTTTATATCAGTATGGACTCATGAGTATTTATTTTATACTTTGAGTTATAATCTAATATCACTGTCTTTCTTTTGCTCAAAGTTGTCCCAACTTTGACTATTGGGAGCTTGCACTTGTCTCCTTTGTCCATTTGACTTCCTCCCATCAGTGTGTATGTGTGTGTGTGGGTGGTTTTAACACTTTCTTACTTTCTGGTACTAAAAGATATTCTAGGCTTATCTTGTATATTTCTTGTCCCAGTCCTAGAATCAACTAATTCTCCAAGGAGCCCCGCTTCCTTTTATTGAAGAATGGTATTAGAAACTGAAGTCTGGGCTCTACATGAGCTTGTGGCTACTGGGCGTGTTACTTTGAGGCTTTCTCACGTAACAGCAAAGAAAAAATATGTGTGTAAACATATATACACATATCTATAAATGTTTACATGTGTAACCATGTATATATATAGTGAGTTAAACATGAGTTCTTAATGATGTCTCCAACTCTAATCTATACCACATAGATCGTTCTAGCCTCCTTCTTTTGCTCATTTGTAAATTCCTACTCTTAATAGTGAGGCATCGGGCTGCACTGTCATCCACTTACCTGCTTGTTCAATCCTAGTATACAAGGAGAGTAGTAGAATTGTTGATTATGTGCTGTTCCTTTTGCCTTGAGTCTCAGACTGTTTCCAAATGACTCCTTTTTATCATTTAAAATTACATAGTTGTTAGTGTGTGTTTAAATTATATATTTCTGAATTAATCAGTAACCTTTTTATTATGATAGAAACTGAATATTTGGCCCTAAGGGGAGTGGGATTAAGAGTGGAAGATAGAATCTGCTATAATTTACTCAATTAACATTTCTTACTTTATTTAATTCTCATAATTATTCTGTAAGGTGATACCATTACCATTTTATAGAAGAGAAAGGCTTGAAGGAATTACCTAGGAGGGGATAGAGCCAAGATTCAGGATCTGCTTGTCTCTAGCTTGTGTTTCTTGCACTTTAAATTATTTACTTATTTTTAAACAAGCTTGGAAAGCCTCTCATTTTTCACTTTTGGGTAGTCTTATTTTTCTTCTCATGGCCTACCTCCCCTTTCCAAGCTTATGTGCCAGCCATGCTAATGTTGCTACCATTTGTGTCTTCCAGGAAGTGAGTGCTTTTGGTGAGGAAGGTGAAGGCGATTATCTGGATGACTGGACAGTGCTCTGTAATGGGCCCTACTGGGTGAGAGATGGTGAGGTGCGGTTCAAGCATTCTTCCACTGAGGTTCTGCTCTCTGTCACAGGAGAGCAATATGGTCGGCCCATCAGTGGGCAAAAAGAGGTGCATGGCATGGCTCAGCCAAGCCAGAACAACTACTGGAAAACCATGGAAGGCATCTTCATGAAACCCAGTGAGTTGTTGAAGGTAGAAGCCCACCATGCAGAGCTCTGAGTCTGGAGGCTGTGAGCCGCTGTCACCACACAGTGTTCATTGACATCTGCTGCTGTCTCGCCCTGGGATCCCTGCCACAGGTTTCCTGGGCATTGGCCATGTCACCACTGAGATGAAGATGGACGCAGAACAGTGACTGTGTTTGGAAGCTTCAGCCCTTCACAGTTGAAATTGTTGTTCTTCTAGACTTGGGTCCGTTCTTTCTGAGTGCAAGACTTGTTGGTGAAGGAGCAGGTGCTTTTTACTCAGATTGATAAAAGAGAAACTGAGGGGGACATCCCTCCTAGCTGGGAAATTTTTACTCTTCAGAAGCTTGGCATCATGGATTATTAATGTGTGTGACTTTTTTCCTGCTTTCTTTCTCTAAAATGATAAAAAAGGATTTCACTGTTAGTCACTGTATTGTCATTTATTAGGTGTGCTTTTTTTTAATTCATTTATTTTCAGAGAGATGGGAAGGGAGGGAGACAGAGGGAAAGAAACATTAAAACATCAATTGATTGCCTGTCACAGGTTCCCCACTGAGGACTGGGCCTGCAATCCAGACATGTACCCTGACTGGGATCAAACCAGTGACTTTTCGTTTTGCAGGCTGGCGCTCAATCCACTGAGCTACACCAGCCAGGGCCAGGGGTGCTATTTGATGATCTGATTAATCCTTGAGTCCTGTGAGTCATTGCTATCATCATTTTGAAATGCTAGGAACCTTTGGTGTGGACCATTGTAGGAGCCTTACTTGCATCCAAATTTTTTCTTTTTCTTTCACTTCTCCTCTAGCACCTCGTTGTTAGATTTTTCACTAAAATTACCACTAAAGAGCCTCAAAAAATGTTTCACTCTGTATCTGTTACTGCAGTTGTAAAAAAGGGGTAGTAGTAAAAAGAGGAACCTACATTTATTCACTGTCTGTTAAATGCTAGACACAATGTTGCAGATCTTAACTCATTTAATCTTCACAGATAGAAAGTAGATGTTACAGTTTTACCAATGCAGAACAGAAAAGATGAATAACTGAATTCTTAAAGCTGGTAAATAATTTGAGGATAGGAATCCAGCTGTATCTGACACATGTTTTTGTTTTTTTTTTCCTTTTTAATCCTCCCCTGCGGACATGGCTCATTGACTTTAGAGTGTGGTGGGGGGAGAGAGAGAGAGAGAAACATCTATCGGTTGTCTCTCTAACGCACCCCAGCCAGGACTGGACCCGCAACCTAGGCATGTGCCTTAACTGGGAACCAATCTTTTGGTGCAAGGAATGAGGCTCCAATCAACTGAGCCACACCTGGCAGGCCTGGCACATGTTCTTTTTACTACACTACAATAATGTTTAGATCTTGGTAGATGACTACTCTTTTTGGCACAAATGTAAGAATACCTTTCCCTGAAAATGTAGGTAGGAAACTTTTGTCCTCTGCTCGTCAAGTCCGGAAAGTTTGCTCCTACGCCCTTTAAGCATGCCCGTGGTGAATGGGGGTTTCTGCCATCTGCTGGAATTTCAGTGATTAGCAGGCCTTCTTATTTTTAGAAACTGACAGATTTTCTTTTTCCTGTTTGCTTTAAGGGAGTTAAGGTAGAACACATTGGGGATACAGGTCTCCCCCACTTTCCAAAAGTTCCTGTTATACACTACTTCCCTTTTACAAAAGAACTAAGTGTGCAATGACTTTTTGTCAAAGCAAAAATATTTTTCAGTTATCTTTGGCTAGTAAAAATAGGTAATAATGTGAACTTTGGGAAAGGAGGGGATACTCTTTATGCCATTTCAGCTTATGAAAGGTTTCATAGGTACACTCTACTTTCAGATAGCTGGGAAACCTGTATCAGGTCTGTGCCAGACATGGCCCATGACATGAAAAGATGAGGTTTCTCTCACAAGGACATGTTTTACTAAGTTGAGACCATGAACTAGTTGAACTCCATGAACTAGTTGCCCTCTCCCTCCTATTCCACTTCAGTTGCATTGGACCCTTGAGAGCTCTCCAGAAAGTACACAAATGATAAAATCAATGTTTCAGGCTGAATTAGTTGGGAGTAAGATGGTATCATTCTGGGAAGAAAGGAAATGTTAGAAATCCGCTTAATAAAGGGAACAGATTGGGCAAGATGAATGAGTAGGGAGCTGTGTTGCAAGGTACCCCTCCTTGGCTTGGACAGACTGTTCTCTGAGTTGTTGGGCCTTCTCTGAAGGTTCAGACACAACGTACTCTGAGGGCAGGCTGCAGATTACAAGGAAAATAGTAGAACAATGGTGCTTGAGAGTTGGGCATGAACTATAAAGAAAGAGAAAGAAGCAGTGGTGAAACCCTGAGGGAGATGTGAAATTAGCTTTGAGAGGACCAGAGAAGAAAGGAAAACAGTTGGAGGCGAAAAGCAACTTCGGACAACACAGGTGAAAGTTGAAATGGTGCTTTATCTGAAAGAATGAAAGAGTCTCCGAATAAAATCTTGAAGGGCGTTTATGGAGGTTTGGATGTGAGAGTAAAAATATGTGAAATACGTATTTTGAAATCTTCAGAATTTCTTCAGCTTGTACTGTATTAGCATCACTGTAATTGAATTGGAAGGGACCTTTGTCCAATTCCCTCATTTCATGGAGAAGGAAACAGACAAAATAAAATCTACCTGATTTTCTCCATTTTGTGTAATTGTTTGCTTCCCAGGTCAACTATTTGTTGCTGAAGGGCAAGAACACTATCCTCTACTACTTCTATGGTATCCGCCCCCTCTCCGCACCCAGATTGCACACTGCACAGGCCCTGAAAACTTCTCCAATGTAGGCTTCAGAATGGTGCTGTCCACACAACAGGTCAATACATATTGGCTACAAGAGTATTCAAACAGTGAGTGAGTTAAAAACTCATTCCTTAGTGGATTAAAAACTAATTTCTTTGAGGCCTTACAATACCTCTTGGTTTTCTCAATGATTTTTAGACAAGGCCCTTGAATAACAAGTGAGCTACTTCGTGTGGCTCAAGGGATATAACTTCTGCAGTATACTCGGTCCACACCCGAAGTGGGCATTCAGACTCTGTAACTATCCTAAGAACGCTTTGTAAGGAGCTCTCAGCGGCCTGCCAGATCCACTGCAAACCAGGGAGCGGTTCAAACTCAACCCCCGGCAAGTCCCCGGTCCAGCAGCCCCGCACTTCCGGGCACTGAAGGGTGCGGCTGGGGGTGGGGTGTGTGTGCCCGTTCGCGCGAGGTCCACTCCTCAGCACTTTCCTTCCAGAGCCACGCCTTCACTTCGGGCTTGCAGCCCGTCGGCCCTGCTGGATAGCGCGCGCTGGGCGGGGTGGGGCGGGGCAGCAACACAGCTGCTGGCTGGCCGGCTGGCGTGGGGGGCGTGGCGCACGCGCGCAAACGCTTCCTGGTCCCGTGCTGTCCCTGCGCGCGCGGCTGGTCGGCCCACTACGGAGCAGTGGAGAACTGGAGCGGGAGGGGGAGCCCCGGCAGGGCGGGGGCCGGAGCCGGGCCGGAGCCGGGCCGGGGCCGTAATGCTCCAGTTCTTCGCCGAGCTGTTGGCCTTGCTGTTGGTTGCGGTGTTCGTCCTCTTCCTAGGACGGTGAGGGGGGACCTTGGCTACGGCGGGGTGGGGGAGATGAGGAGAGGAAGAGAGGCTGAGGAGGGGGTGCACGCTGGATAGAGGCGCGCGGGAGGGGGAGGCAGATGGGGAGAGGGCTGGAGGAGACGGTGCGGGGGCGGCGGCGGGGGAGGGGTCGAGCGGGGGCGCAGGGCCGGAGCAGGCGCGGAGGAGCTGGAACTGGGGGAGACTAAAGGAGCAGGCGAGGCCTGAGGAGGAGATGCTGCGGCGGGGAGGTGAATAGGTGTATGTGTGAGGAGGGGGGCCAGGTGAGTGGTCTCCCTTTTTGCCTCTAAACACCCCTGAGTGTCCCCTTCACCGAATACAAAGGGCACCTGAAGCCTCGCCCTGGGAAGCCGGAACAGGTTTGACTGCCTAGGGAAGAAGGGCATTAGAGCTGGCCGGCTGTGACCCCACAGTGCCTTCTTGCGGACATCTGTCTGGAGGGCGAAGACAGAAGCTCTTTGGGGAATGTATGATGGCACATCTGACACGGCTGCTTGTACTTCGATTCCTGTTGGGTCGTCTTTTTTCTTCCTCGGGGGTTTCTAAAGATTTATTTGAGAGGTTGCTTTATCTGTCCTCAACTTAGTAGGTGGAGTTTACTTTATCTGATTACCCCTGGGTGGAGGGGACACCCTGGGGCTGCAGTTTTGGTCGTTGTGGCTGAATGTCTGTGAGAGTAGAGTTTAGCAGACCGGAGAGTTGCCCAGAAGACTCCATTTCAGGATTTGACCCTTTGCAAGGGCTTCTAGGATCAGCAAGGAGTGAGGGAAGACGTAATTGGGAGAGGGTCCTGTGAACTCAAAGGGATTTTTTTGCAGGTGGCTTGTGGTCCGGTTGGTCACCAAGTGGTGTCAGCAAAAGCTGCAGGCGGAGCTAAAGATTGGCTCTTTTTTTTGGATCCAGAATGTCAGTCTTAAGTTTCAGCAGCACCAGCAAACTGTGGTGAGTCCTAGGGAACTCCCTGGGTGTGTTTGTTGGGGTGGGGGTGGGGGAAGTTGATTCAGCGAAATTTCAACCTTCGATTTTCTTAAAAAAAAAAAAAATTCTGGGTGACTTTCATTGTTAACCCAGTCTTGCTACCTCTTTGCCAATATGATCTTAGTGTTATTTTGGGAGCACTAGGATTGGTATAAGTTGTTTAATTAAAAATGCTTATAAGGCACAAAGTGTCCAGAGCACCTAAGAAAGATACAGAGGTAAAGCACAGAACAAAGATAAAAGGAACTAGAGAAGCTTACTGTTCTAATTTAAGAGGGGAAACAGGGTAACTTATCCATAAGTGAGAAATACTAACATCATTGTGAGGAGCAGGACATAGTGCAAAGGAGAGAAGTACAAATGGAATGAGAATAATTCATGTAAGGGCTGTAGCACTTCTTCCTCCTCTTACAACATTTCCTGGCTTGTAAAGCTGCTTATGTCTTACCTAGCAGCTAGTGTACAAAACTTTCTCCCATGTTTTAGGAAATTGATAGCCTGTGGATTTCCAGCAAACTCCTTAGCCATGATCTGCCGTGAGTACCGGATATCCCTGCTTTTCCTTTGGGGAATATTTTGGGATTGGGGTTTGCAGAGAATGAGATTCTTCTACACGGGCCTCAGAGTTCAAGAAGGGAAGTGGGTTCTTGGTTTGATGTCTCCTGGTTAGCCTGGAAGTTAATATCTAGTGAGACAGATATGGATAACTACTATGAGACCATCCTCAACAATTTGAGCTACATTTTTAGGGAGAATGGGAGAGTGAACGTGAGGAAGAGGAAGAGACTGCTACGGAAGGGATGGGCCTGATGACATGACGTTTCTCTTCCGGGCAGGCGCTATGTGGCTTTGTGCTTTGGAGAAGTGCGTATCAGAACCGACCTACAGAAGGCTTCTGGCCTATTTGCTCCATTCTCCCAGAGCACTGGAGTGCATCACAAGGAGCTGTCCTTCAGCCCAGCCTTATTGAAGATCTTATGTCAGGTGAGACTACCTCTCCCACTTTTTGGACTGTACTAGGAATGACTGGCTTTGGAGTCATGGGTGGATTTTTCGACTATTTGTGGGGCGTGATACTAAGAGCTGCTTCTTATTCTTTTTCTGTTGGAAAGGAAAGGCAGTGCCTTAGTATTAATTGTTGTTCTTTATTTATTCCTTCTAGCTATTCTCCATTCATGTAGATTCTATAAACATCATGGTTCTCAAGGTGGCTACTTCTGAGTCCTTGTGGCATATTCAAATTAGAGAAAGCAGCTTTCTTTTGGATAGTGATGGGAAAAGGTAAACTCTGGGTAGAAAACGGTCTAAGTCCCATTCTTGCCTTATAGTTCCTTATAGTTGTTTGAGAGTGGGTGGATGTCAGGGCCTTCTTATCAAGGTGTCACATTCTCATTCTGTATAATTTGAGGAGAGGCTAAGATGAAGCACTTTTGCTTACTTGTCCCTTCCAGCCAACAAAGCTTGATTGAAGGTAAATGGTGAGGAAAGGGGCTAAGTGCTTTAATTTTTTCCCTTTGCCAGGCTAAAATGTGAGGTGAGCCTAAGTCAGATCAACAGCAAAGTTCTAAAGAGTGGCCAGTTGGTGAGTATGCCGCAGTCCTTCGGATGCCTTGTTTCTTTCTGGGTGTATCAGAGAGCTTAGGGCTTACCCCATAGACTCTGTGTCCTTATGGGGTTCTCTCAAGGTAGTGTTCCAGACCACTGCATTTTGACCCAAAACTCCCAAACTCCCTATACATACATACCTTAGAAGCTTATTCTTCTGTAGGAGGACACTTGCCTAGCAGAGCTCTCACTGGCCCTAAAGCTGTGTCTGGAGGTGGGTATCAGGAGTCGGCACCTGAAGGCAATCACTGTGGGTGTGTGGACACTTCATGCTGAACTGCATGAGGGCCTCTTCCATAGTCAGCTGCTGCACCAAGGCCCGAGCCTGGCATCCAAGACTGTTCCCTGTTCAGGTAAAACCCCAGTCAGTGAACTTCTTGGTTGCCCTGTGTTCAGGTTATTTTGGAAGTAGAAAAAAATAGTGGTCTCACTATTCATTTAGATGTGATTTATTAGTCACCATGGCCTTGGGCCCTGAGAATAAAGAGAGGAAATAGGGCATTGGTTTGTGGTGGGTGAAAGAACCAACATTTAGTGGGTAATTATCATAAATTAGAGCTCTACTATGTGTTTTATATATGTCCTCTCAGCCTTGCACAAATGAAGACCTTAAAGTCTAGGAGGATTAGATAGCACACAGCTAGTTGATATTAAAAAAGGGGTTTAAATTATTTGACCCCAAAACCCAAAACCAGTCTGCTCCCCATACTATTTTTAGGCTCTGGGGAAGGAAGTACAGCAGGTGCCTGAATTTCTGGGATATTTGCCTTGTAGCCTAAGATTGGGCATTTGCCTACCCTATTATATATGGGAAATTTTGGCTAAGGGGGGCAGGGAATTTTTGGAGACTTGGGAGTGTTAAGGATTGATGGCTCTTATATTATTCATTCATATTTTCAGAGGTGACAAAGGACTTGGCTGAGCCTACTCTGCCTGGCCTATACCTCCTTCAGCAGCTGCCAGACCAGGTGAAGGTGAAAATGGAGATCACAAGTGTGGTGCTGTCCATGAATAGTCAAAAGAGGTGAGCTCTCTCCTGGCAGAGGTGTGGAAAGTGATAGTTGCATTTATATGTTGGGAATATGGAGCTAGTAGCTGCATTGGGCTCGACTATGGGGAGAAAGGGCATTCCACATATTTCTGAGCTAGAGTCTGTTTCTTGTCCAGACATCTGAATTGGACACTGAAGCTGCTGCATTTCCTTTTCCACCGTGATGAGGATCAGCTGCCCCTTCGAAGTTTCACAGCAAACTCTGATATGGCACAGATGAGCAATGAGCTCCTACTAAAAGGTTTATGGGTGGGGATGCTGGCACTGAGAGAGAGTGGGAGGACCAGACACTCTCTTTCCCCATGTGCCACATAGTCCTCTTAATTTGATTGTCAGTGGGGAGGGTGAGGAGGGAACCATAATGAGAGAAAGTAGCCC